GCGTGAATCCTAGATTGTGGAGCCGATTGTGAATCTTAATCGTTTGATAATGTTGTGCGTTTGCTCGAATTAGATAGAAATGCATTGATGGATTAATAGGTATGTAAACCTTGTGTGAAATGGTGTATGATGTGAATGCATAATGAATATATGTGATGTATGTGATAAATGCAATGAGTATGTTTGTGAACATAGTATGCATTTTTGTGATGGATCTCGTGGAGGATTTGTAGAACCTCGTATGATACGATGGTTATATTCGATTCCGTGGAGAATCGATTGCATTGAGTGATTCCTTGGAGAATCGGTTGCATTGTATGATTCCTCGGAGAATTGGTCATAACATGTAATCCCGTGGAGGATTGGTTAGAGTATTTGATTCCGTGGAGAATCTGCTGAGTACTTGATCCCGTGGAGGATCTGCTGAATATTCGATTCCGTGGAGAATCTGATGAATATTTGATTCCGTGGAGAATCTGCTGAGTACTTGATCCCGTGGAGGATCTGCTGAATACTCGATTCCTTAGGGAATTTGTTGAATGAGTCGGTACCGCATTTGCATCTGCATAGAGTCGTGTGTCGGTCTCTATGAGTTGCATGAGTCATCTGTGTATGATGCATTGGTTGTGTGAATATAACTGTGTATGTTTTATGTGATTGTTTGGAGAAAATATAATGAATGTTCATGTGTATGTGTAGAGACATGATTATTTGTATATGCTTAATGTGGTGAGAAGATAATTTGAGTATAACTTGTATAATTATGGAGTTATGTATATACACAATTTTATGCATTAACTGTTATGATGTTGTTTCTCACCCTTCTGCTGTTTTCTAATGCTCTATGAGGCATTGCAGAGTAGGAAGCTGGAGGTTCTTTTTGTGAAGCGATGTCTTCATTCTTTTTGGTCAATGGCTCTGATATGTAACATCTGGGTAGTTAGGAAGCCTTTGACTCTTTTGGAGTTACATTTGTTTTGATTCTTTTGTGATACATATGTGTATGTATCTGTTGTGGATACGTTGTAAAACATGAATTAACTGATGGTTGTATATACTTTTATGAATGAGATCGATTCAATATTTGGATGTTTCCGCTTTATTCTAAATATTGAGATGTGGGTTACCCATTGTTGCATATCTATTTTGAGCAGGTATCGTATGTGTTTAATTTCATGATAATGTGATGCGCCTCTTTTATACCATGTTTTAATCAAACTCTGATGAAATAAATTTTCTATGTGCCTAATTGATTTATCTAATTTATTTGGGGTATAGAAAGGGGGTGTTACAGATCACCCTTCTCAGATGTGACAGTCGTGGAGATCTTTATCCAGTTACCACTCCTCCCAGTTTTGCCGGTCTCACATCCAGTCTTTGGCATAGTCGTCTTGGTCATCCTAGCGTGTCTGTTTTGAATTCCCTTCGTAAAAATAAGTTCATATGTTGTGAACCTTTTAATTCTTCTGTTGTTTGTGACTATTGTGTTTTAGGCAAACAGGTTAAATTGCCATTTTTTTATTCTCAAACTACGACTTTGATGCCTTTTGATATTTTATATAGTGATTTATGGATGTCTCCAATTTTAAGTTCTGCTGGTCATAAATATTATGTCTTATTCTTAGATGATTTCACAAACTTCTTGTGGACTTTTCCTATTAGCAGAAAATCTCATGTCTTTGAAACATTCAAGTCACTTACTCAACTCATTCAAACTCAATTTTTGCAAAAAGTCAAAACATTTCAATGTGACAATGGCGGTGAATATAATAATGAGCTTTTTAAAAAATATTGCATTGATCATGGTCTAATTTTTCGTTTCTCTTGTCCCCACACATCCTCACAAAATGGGAAAGCGGAACGCAAAATAAGAACCATTAATAATATGATTCGAACTATGCTAGCTCATTCTTCTGTTCCCCCTTCGTTTTGGCATCATGCTCTCCACATGGCAACTTATCTGTTAAATATTATTCCCGGTAAAACACCTCATAATCAGTCACCAATACAACTTCTGTATCATCGTGATCCCACCTACACACACCTTCGAGTCTTTGGTTGTCTATGTTTTCCATTATTCCCGTCATCTACCATCCATAAGTTACAACCCCGCTCTACTCCGTGTCTTCTTGGGTTATCCACTAAATCATAGAGGTTACAAGTGTTTTGATTTGTCTAAAAGAAAATTAATAATTTCAAGGCATGTTATTTTTTATGAAACTCAATTTCCCTTCAACAAGATACACTCCCCTTCACCTCACTCTTATCAATTCCTAAATGATGAGGACTTTCACCCCTACCTTATACATCAGTGGCAAAATCAAATTTCCCCACCTGTTGCACATAACCAACCAACACCCACAATCACAATTGACCAGCCACTACCCTCAATAAACCAACAATCATCATCTCCTACCTCTTCGATCAACAAACCCATTACAAGTAACTCTCCATCAACACCACCAAGTCAACCGCATCCACCTCAACCTACACGAACCATCACCACCAGAAGCATGAAAGGCATTGTCAAACCCCGCACGATATTTAACTTATCAATCTCTCACTCTGACCACACCATCTCTCTCATACCTAAAAACACCAGACTAGCCTTATCAGACCCGAATTGGAAATCCGCAATGCAATCTGAATTTGATGCTCTTATTCGAAATAAGACGTGGGATTTATTCCCTCGTCCTTGTGATGCTAATCTTATTCTATGTATGTGGATTTTTAGACATAAGAAAAATTCTAATGGCTCCTTTGAGCGTTATAAGGCTCGTCTTGTTGGTGATGGCAGGTCACAGGTTGCAGGTGTGGATTGTGACAAGACTTTCAGCCCCGTAGTGAAACCCGCTACCATTCGAACAGTGCTTACCATTGCTCTCTCCAAATCCTGGCCCATTCATCAACTGGATGTCCAGAATGCTTTTTTACATGGTGATCTTCAGGAGACTGTTTACATGCATCAGCCATTGGGTTTCCGCGACCTCCGTCATCCAGATTATGTATGTCAGTTGAAGAAGTCATTATACGGTCTCAAGCAAGCGCCTAGGGCATGGTACCAACGTTTTGCTGACTATGTCGCCACCATTGGTTTTCGCCATAGCACATCAGACCACTCCCTCTTTATATATCGCCAAGGTTTAGACATGGCATACATTCTACTGTATGTAGACGACATCATCCTTATCACCTCCACTCAGGTCCTCCGCAAATCAATTATGTCACTCTTAGCATCTGAGTTTGCAATGAAGGATTTGGACCCTCTGAGTTACTTTCTGGGTATTGCAGTATCTCGTCATCCTGATGGCATATTTCTCAGTCAAAGCACTTATGCTTCAGAGATCATTGAACGTGCTGGCATGACGTCCTGTAAACCATCAGCCACTCCTATTGACACCAAGCAGAAACTTAGCACCTCCTCCGGCACTTCTTATGAGGATTCATCCTTGTATCGGAGTCTTGCAGGGGCCCTACAGTATCGCACCTTCACTCGACCTGACATATCATATGCTGTCCAGCAAGTTTGTCTTCACATGCACGCCCCTCGCACAGAACACATGCTTGCTCTTAAGCGCATTTTGCGCTATGTTTAGGGAACTTTACATTTTGGACTACATTTATCCCCATCTCCCATTGCAAAGCTTATCTCCTACACTGACGCTGATTGGGGTGGATGTCCTGACACCAGACGTTCCACTTCTGGTTACTGTGTTTTTCTAGGTGACAACCTTATTTCTTGGTCTTCCAAAAGGCAGCCAACACTCTCCCGTTCCAGTGCTGAAGCCGAATATAGGGGGTTGCGAATGTTGTCTCCAAATCGTGTTGGATTCGCAACCTTCTTCTGGAACTCCATTTTCCTATTCCTCAAGCCACTTTGGTGTATTGTGACAATGTTAGTGCCATCTATCTATCCGGTAATCCTGTGCAGCATCAGCGCACTAAGCATATTGAGATGGACATTCATTTTGTTCGGGAAAAAGTGGCTCGTGGTCAGGCTCGTGTTCTTCATGTTCCCTCAAGACATCAGATCGCAGATATCTTCACCAAAGGACTTCCTCGCATTCTCTTTGATGATTTTCGGACCAGTCTAAGCGTCCGTGAACCTCCCGCTTCGACTGCGGGGGTGTGATAGAATAGAATATTTTGTTGTAATTAGTCATAATTAATTTCCTATAATTAGGTTGTATCATTATTAGATAGTTGACCAAAGGTTACACATTGATGTATATATATTCTATTCAGATTAATGAGAAAGACAACAATTTCATTATCTTACAGAAATGAGTAGTCTAAGCATAATTGATGAAACTCTTGCTCATATCAGGTACCTAAAACATAAATACGGTTTTGGATTGCATGGGTCGGTCAGATAAGTACGGTTGGTAGATTTTTGTCCATCCTTAGGTATAACATACAAAAATAAATAATTTGTATCTTGGTATCAAACGCAATCTTGCTTATATACGAACGACGATTAAAACTATTCTCAGTCGTAGCGCAAAATGTAAGAGAGAGTTGAATTGACTCCAATAGTTTAGATAAAAGTGTGCACGATTTCAATGTGACTTACTAATAAGTATCTATATATTCAACATCTTTGAGCCATATTTTTTAATTATATTTTCAAACTGGACGGTTTTATTGAGCCGTTTGCCCCATCCGAAACAAAACCAAAGTTCTCTAAAAATAAAAAGCGATGGATTTAAAAAAATTAATTTTATTTATATAGTGAGATTCTCATCTAAGAACAATACTAATTATATTAATAATAATATATCTCATTCTAAGATTTCATACTCGGTGTATGGAATTTCAAGCCGAAAACTAAAATTTCCACAAGTTAGATGATTGGATTTAAATTCCTTCCAACAACGTGGAAATTACAGAGTGACTATTGACTCATTGGGCATAACAATCTGCAACTATTCCACCCTCCTCCTCATCCCCTTATTATCCATTTTTAATTTCATTACTCTGTTTCTTGATGAGTTATCATCATGACCGTGATATTAGAACTCACCCTCATATCAACGGAAGGATTAAACAACTACACTTCCTGTCTCAACCCCACCGTAAGACCCTTCATCACCCTCACCAAATTTCCACCCACCACAACTACCACACCTACTACAGCATGGGATAATAACATGTTCCGCATCCCACTCGATCCTACCTTCTTTTCAGAAGCATCTTCATGTCTATATCTACAGTTATTCATCAAGCGGAGAATCATGGGCCAGGTCCAACTTGGGTGGTGTTTTATTCCGGCCTCGGATATTGGCCTTCTTACACTGGATTCAGTCCGGTACCTGAGTTACAGACTACGAGGCAGAGACGGTTCAAGGAGACATGTCATCATCAATATCTCTGTCCGATTGAATCTAATGTCGCTGTCACCTGACATGGACACATGTCACACTGTCATTGGGATACCAGTGACAGCCATTAGGGAGCTTAATTTCCATGTTAGAAGGTTTTAGTGGGGGCAATGAAATAGTTACTTGTTTTGTCCTAACTTGTGTTTTTTTCTTTACTTTTGGGAAAGTGGGCAACAAGGCCACTTGTTTTGTCGTTTGTTTTGATGTAACATCACTTTCTTTGTTTAGCCGTATGAATCTCGTCGCATGTGATGTGATGTTTTGATTGGATTTAATAAAGCTTTATCTATTATCATTGCAACATATACACAACATTGTTAAAAAAAATGCAGTAAAACGATACACAATAATGTTTGATGATCCCGATCGACCGATTTGTTAACATGTTATAAATAAATGGACAGGTTACAGGTACATATGGCTATGTCGTCTGCTCTTGTGTGACGAGCATGTGAAACTTAGAATTACAAATTTACAAGCAGCAAGGGATAATGCATCCCTAATTACAGATAGAAAAATAAAACTGCTTTTACTTTTTTTTTTCGTGTGATTACATGCCATTGTACTAAACGTTAGAACTTACAGATTGGCAAGTGTAAAAAGTGTGCCCCTCCAAAGTTCTAACTGACTTCAGCATTGTTCTCTACCCCCAACCCAAAAAAACTTCTCTCTTTCTCTCATTGCTTTTTACTGAAGAACACTAATAGGCCTAAGGCAGCGATAACTGCAGCTCCAGCTGCAACAGTGTGAAAGGCCGAGTTCCATGCTTCTGAATTAGCATATTCCAAATTTAAACTTGATTCTGCTCCATAACCAGATGCTCCTGAGTAGTCTAAGTGCAATCTCAATCCCTACAAAATTCACCAATTCAAGCCCTTGTGAATTCGACTGATATGTACAAATACTAAAATGGATGTGGATCATAGGTCCAACTCCCCAATTAATTAACAGAAAACTTTCAATTAGAGGTATCAAAGCTTGTTTTACAACGTGGTTACACTTGCATTGTTGTGATATATTGTTGTGATATTGTTGTTACTATGTTGCTCAAAATCCATATTTGATTCAAAACAAATCAAAAGTCCCCACAAAAAAAAACATTCTATTTAACACTAGACCAACAACAAATCAACAATACCTTCAAACCAGCCGTCTTTGCATGGTCCACGGCTGCTGCAAGATCACTATCTGAAGCCAATACAACTAGATCGTGTTCTTCATCTTCATACTAGAAACAAATCGACCAGTTTGCATTAGAAAAAGGAGGAAACGTTGACAAAACCATGTCAATATAAATGCAACATCTTGAATTATACCAAAATTTGAGGCAGGTTATTGGTGTCAATATCATCGCCAACTCTCTGAATGATGGAAGTTATAACCTCTGTCAAGCTCCGAGTATCTGAAGTTGCATGTAAACACACAAACACACAAGATCCGTAATTTCTTTACTTTTTTCATTATAGAAGAAATTTGAAGTAATGTTAAAGGTAAGATAATGCGGTTGACATACCACATGTGAATCTATGCAATCTACCCTTCTTATCTTGTAGTTTGAAGGAAAATGTGGTTTGCGTGCTTGACACATTATAAGGAATGGACCTCCCTGTTTCTCCTCCCTCAGAAACCATTTTAAAGGAAGTGTCGCTGACAACATCATTAATAATGTGTAATTGTATTAAAAATATTAGAAACAATTTTTCCTACAAACATCTGTGCACATGTCTAACCTATTTGAATCTTCTTCGTCGTCATTTGGAGTAAAAGTCATGGCCGAATCCCAAAACTTTTGTATCATGCTGTTGGCAGCTTCATTGTTGAAGTTTGCAGTATTCCCAGCCTAATTAATGGAGAAAAATGATACTGTCATTGCAAATGCTTCCCAGGAAAATATGAAGGGAAGCTGAAACAAATTAACAAACATGGTTTTGGTATCATTATGCCATTCTATTCAAATTTTCAACATTAACATCAGCAATGCTCCGAACCCTTTTAGCAAATAATATTCATTTGAGAGAAACATTTGAATATTTTCTTCTTTTCTTAAGAAGTTGCACATTGCAAGCAGAAAATTCCAAAATTTCAATTCTCATTAAGTTTCCATCAACTTTCAACTTCTAAACATAATATTCTACCTTTTGAAACTCGAACATAATTTCGTAAAAGATCTTTCAATTCTCATTAAGTTTCCATCAACTTTCAACTTCTAAACATTTTAAATTATTTTTCATGAACTTCCATTTATTTAAGTGAAATTAAGGATTCAAGAGCTTTTACTGACAAGAACTTGATTGTACCAATTTAGAGATTAAATTCAGGCAAAAACTTATTGAGAGGTCAAATTCACAACATTGACCAATAAATAAGCCTTAAAATTTTAGGTTCATATACCAACTCTCTTTCTCTTTTTAACTCAAAATTCTAGGTTTCAAATTAGATGAATGAAAATTAGTTTACATCTATTAATCTTTAGTTGCTTGGGAATAATCAAGCTTTCGGATTCTAATATTCTCCATATGCACAAGCAGGTGGATGAATACAAAAGGTGGTGATACTTTGCCAGGTTTAAGGCCAAAATGCTGACTGCTGAGCTACACACCCTTAACTTGCATACATGAGATATTAATATTTATCAGTTCATAGAAAGTATAATTTGAAAACTACTAAAAACATCACAAGTATCAAACCAATTAAGGACGTGATAAGTTAGCAATTATTTTGACAACAATTTTTTATAAGCAAAGCATGAACAAAGCCACATACCTGACTAACTGTAGCCACAGCAGCATGAGTGATATGAATCACATCAAGCGTCGCAACAACAATGCCATCTGTTTTCAAAAACCAAAATCAGAAGAATATCTATGCAACGAACCTGCTCCCCATCTCATGCTAGTACGTTACCTCTATCAACCACAGGAAGATGCAAGAATTTTCCATTATGCATTAAGTGAAGTGCATCAACAATTGGTGTGTCGATTACTGCACATTCTGGATTTGCAGTCATGACCTGTAGATTGTGTTGAGTATACTACGTCAGATAAAAAGAAGAAGAAATGCAAGGAAAAATGGGATCCCAAACAAAACTAGGTAAAGATTTACCGTCTCAACAAGAGTTGACGATGGGGAGAGATTTTGTGCTATTACCCGCATCAAGATATCCTTTGAACTGAAGTTTGTATAAACAATGTAATCCATCAAAATTATTCAACAATACCTATGACATAAAGAAACTAAATTCTGTCTGTTTTTGAAATTTATTTTATTTTTTTCTTTCATTTTTAACTTTAAAAAAGTAGTTTTATTTTCTATTTTCAATGATTTTTAAAGCACTAAAAATGTTACTTCACTGTTTTCATGTAGTTCAAAAATTGATAAAATTATAATAGTACAACAGTTTTTGTAAGCCACAAATATTTACTTAATTTTTTAGATATAAGTATTGGTTAGGATATTCTCTTATTATATCTTGATTATATTTATTTAACTTTCCTTTCTTAGTTGATTCTTTTCCTAATTTTTGGAATTGATTAGGAGATTCATGTGTATTATATTTGTACATTCCCCTAACATAATGCAGACGATATATTCAATTTCAAGTAAAATGAACATAAACTTGATTTTTCAATGTGGGGGAGGGACTAGCAATCGTAGAAAAGGTGTGACATTTCCAAAAAAAAAAAGTAAATGGGTGGCAATGTTCATAGCAACACACTTACGTAAGAATACCACAAGGTTTGTTATCAACTACCACAACAGCAGCACTTGCACGAAGTTCAAGCATCTTTTTCGTTGTTGTCAAAACTGAGTCAGTTGATGAGACTGTAACAACACTGGAAAGTACCATCTTCTGAATTAGCGTTGGGTGATAACTCCAACTCCATAAACAAAATAAAACATGCGTGATTTTTCTTCAACTTAAAAAAAAAAAAAAAAGGTATTACCTACTTTGAATTCTCAGGAATGATTGTAGACAATGATGGTTTAAATATCTGCTCCCGAAGAGTCTCAAAGAATGATGAATTGGAGCCTGCAACAAAATCAAATTAACATGAAACAAAACTTTGGCTGACAGAGCAAATCGACGCCTTACTTAAAACACTGTCCTCCAATGTTGTCCTAATTAGAAATAAGAGAGTAAGAAATGCAAAAAGAAATCAATCCACAAACCAGAGGCAGAAGCTCCACAGTGTTTTTCGATACCTTCAACAGCCACTGCAATTGCCTTTCCTTTCTCCGCTGCCCTTTCCATACGGGCAATGGCATCATATAAACACTTTGCTATGTCGAGGATAGCAACCACTTCTCCATTCTCCACCACAGGTAAATGTCTGAATCTCCCTGCAAAACAAAATCCAGCCTTGTATTCAGAAGGCAGGACACAAAACAGGGGAAAAGCATATATCATGAAGTAATATGCATTGCAAACATTTACTACCAACCTTGCACCATCTTTTGGAGTGCTTCCACAGCAAGAGTGTCGGTAAGGACAAATACTGGATTCCTTGTCATAACCTTGGAACAAGGTGTGTCTTCAAGATTAACCTCACAGGAAATTACTCTTGTTGTTATATCCTTTAACCACAAAAATAGGATAGTAAATTATGCATGCTAAAAGTTGCAGGAACCCAATGCCAAACCTTTCCCTTATTTTCCTTCTTGTAAACAGGTAATAAAAGGAAGTTCGAGTCATACCTTGTCTGTGAGGATTCCACAGAGCAAAGCATTAGAATCAGTTAATAATAGAGCATCTACTCTGCGAGCAGCCATCCGACGACAAGCTTCATAGATAGTTGTTGATTCAGGCACTGTCAATGCCTTTGAAAGTCGCAATGATTTCACAGTTCGCTCACCCCTGATCCAATTCCAAGAAAAAAAGAAGCTATCAGTGCCTAAAAACAAAAATGCTGACAAAGCTAGTACGAGAAAACACAACAGTATGTTATAGTGTCGCATCCTAGATTGTTATTTCCGCCTAAAAGATTCAAGAATACTCAGCCATTTAGACTTGCTTTATATAGTGACCTGCATGTGATATTAAATAGATTAATAATTCATTCTCTCATTTTCATATGCATCTTTTTCTAAGTATTCATGATAAGATCCTCGGAGTGTCAACATTATAGGTTTCCTTCTACATCCATAATGAACTCATGATCATGTCAACTCTGTATCCCTATGTGCTACTGCGAGAATCCATCAACAAGATCGCCCCCGTACCTTTCAATGTTTTTCTTTATCAAGACAGAAATAGAATTCCAAACAACACTATAAGGTAGATGAATCCCAACTACATTGACACACCAAAATCTAACAATCAGCACACCATTAATTTATCAAAAAAATCATCTCCTAAACATTTCAATGTAGCTATCACAAAGATTTTTGTTTTAAAAATAATCTAACTAAAGTAAGTGCATTTATAATCTCGTTTGAACCGGGATTTTTCTCGTTAATTATTGGCTTCATTGTAATGAATCAACAATTGTTTGAATTTAACAATTTTTAAGATAATTTGTCTTTGTGATTATAAGGTCTTAAAAAGCTCTCTTACCGCAAAATCGGCCGCGACAAAACAGGGAGGTGCCGATACCGATTCTATTATTTGCCGTTTTAATGATAAAGAACAATAATTCACACGGCAGTGACTGCAATCAGTGTCGCAACACTTATACATACCGAAATCACGAAACCTTTATGCGACCGCAACATCTATAGCGACCGAAATCGCCAAGGCCTTTATGCGGCCGTTAAGAAAATCATAACTCACATGAAGACGATCAATTCAATTTCAAATTAAACTTATCGTTGGAATTAAATAAACTATTGAACATTTAATCAAACACAAAACATTTCACCGTGGAAACACTGTACGTGAAAAATCAGCAATAAAAGCTTTGATTGAAAAAGAAAAAAAAACGTACGCGGTGGTGGTGCGCATAGACGGAAACGGTTTACGAAAAGTGGTGTCCGGAGGTAAAAATTCAGTTCCTTTCTTCTTAGACCGCCTAGGGCTAGTCGTGAACGAACCGCTCTTTCGCGAAGAACCACCGTGACTCGACATTTTCAATGTGCTGAACAATATGAACAATTCAAATCAAATGTTAGAGTAACGAAACCATGATTGAAACAATTTCATAAAAAGAAAAAAGGATAAGAAACTCGCCGAAAGAGGGAAGAATTAAGTTGAAGTTGTTATGAAAATGTGAAGAGTTAGTTGGGATTGGAGGAATGAGGTTGAAGTGGTCGGAAAATGATCGGAAAATGGAGTAAACCGGTGACCAGCCGGCGAAAAGAGAAGCAGGGATAGAGAGGGGAGATTGCATTTTTGCGGGGATGGTTGGAAAAAAGGCGGGTGATGGGAGAGGCGAAGTTGGTGCCGATTACAATGGGTCCAATCACACTGCTGCACGTCGACATTTATTTTCCTCCTTTACTTATTTTTATTTTCTTTTCAAATGTTTATTGGTTTCTAGCACTCATAAAATCTTTTTTTTTTATTCAAATTTTAGAGGTCCATTATAAGTAGTTTAACGAGTAATAGATTCTAATTTAAAATTGTTCTGGACTGGGGCAAGACCTGCCCTTCCGTCAGACAGGTCCAACCCAAGGCTACTGTAATGAAATCTAATAAAACTCAACCTTTTACGTCGGGGAAGAGCCTCAATAAGGCACATGCCTCGGGCATAAGACCTTCGGATGGGGAGGCTCACACGCTTTTCTCACATTCTCCATGTGTTCTCTCACGCAGGGTGTAACAGCCCAATTTTTTAATAATTAATTATTCGTATTAAATAATTAATTTATTTTGATAATTTTAATTATTGGAATTATTGGTAGATATTTGAGAGAAAATGGAATGGAAGGAATATAAGGAGAGTGGAAAGAAAAGGAAACATAAGAGAAAGAGGAGAAAAGAGAAGGAGAAAGAGGAGAAAAGAGAAGGAGAAGAAGGAAAAGTTGGAAAAGCTCAAGAACAACTCTCAAGCATCGATTTAACCAAGGTAAGGGTGTGAAATATCATTATCTTGTCAATGTATATGATTATGTATGATTGGGTTAGATTGTTGGATGTTTTTCTACAACTTCCATTTTAGGGGAAAAAATGGATTTAATCGATAGACACCGAGTTTTAACGGTCAAAAATGAGAATAAGTGGCATAATTTAGTCGAGGAAGGTCAGACTAAGGCTATGGAATTAGTTTGGTGAGAATCGGTCGGTTTTGTGGAGAGTTATGAAAGTTGGGCAGTGAGGGTTTTGGAGTTCACAGACACTCGCTAGCTTGTTCGCTAGGCGAGCTGGTCGCGAACGTTCGCTGCAGCGAGCTGTAGCGAGTAGGTAGCGAGCAGTCCCAGACTTGGGCTGAATGGATTTGAGGTTCTTCGCTGGTAGCGAATGGGGCAGCGAAGGTTCGCTAGGACTTCGCTATAGCGAGCTGGGTAGCGAAGCAAGACAGTAGCTTCTATTTGCCTTCGCGAGCTTGCTCGCTAGGCGAACAGGTAGCGAGCACTCGCTAGAGACTCGCAAGGCGAGCATGTTAGCGAGCGTGACAGCAATTGGTTTTCTCTGTGATTCCATTCCATGTTGATTTCTTGATTCGATTGTGTTCGATCCTTGTTGGAATGAATAATTGTGTGCCGTGAAGTATATGTTGTGGGTAGCCGTATTGCGTGAATCCTAGATTATGAATTGTGGTCTTTTGACAAATATAATGCATTGTTTTAATTGATTAAAATGCATGATGAATGTTATTGAATTCGTTGTCGTGAGCACGATGTTGTGAATGCATATTGTTTGTATGCGATTGTGTTTGAGAATGCATGAGAACATATTGTGGATATGTGTGCATTGCTTGGTAAATATATTGATGATGTTGAATATGAATATGTTGTGTGCGCAATCATGATTATAATTTGTATGTGATGAATTATTTGAGAATGCATGAGATTAAGATGCGAGAACGGTCTTAAGTGCATTTGGTGGTTGATTGCATATGCATCATTTAGTCAAGAGGCAATGTTTGCTAGTTTCGTGGAGACTAGTGACTTGTCCCGAACCTAGAAGAGTGGGTTTGAAAGCTTAGAGGACGGGCTTTTGTTGTTATCGGTCTAGAAGAGTGGACCCGGTTTAAGTGTAAAAACCAAAAAATGATAACGAGTGTTGGTACCACATGGCATGAGTTGCATTGAGTCACATGGAAATGTGTAATGTTGTTGAGAGTATGTTTGTGTGAATTGTGGAGTTGAGAATTATGGATGTGTGCATGATGAAATGTGCTTGATAATTATCCATATTTGTTTGTACATATGTTGTGATGTATATGATGATTAAAATGAATTGTGGCGAGGAAATGTGGAATATATGTGTTCTATACTTGTGTGTGTGTGTGTGTATATATATATATATATATATATATATATATATATATATATATATATATATATATATATATATATATATATATATATATATATATATATATATATATATATATATATATATATATATATATATATATATATATATATATATATATATATATATATATATATATATATATATATATATATATATATATATATATATATATATATATATATATATATATATATATATATACGCATTGATTATTATGATAATATTTCTCACCCTTCTGCTGGTTTATAATACTCTATGAGGCATTGCAGATTAGCTTTGTGTCGCGGTGAAATTTGGATACCAAACTATTGATTAGTTTGAATCTTTAATTCATTTGCAACCGAAATTTGATTTGTCCAAAGGAAGGGATAAAGATCGAAATTCCCACAATGCAATGCAAATGCAAGCTAGAGAGTTTTAGGTTCGAGGGTTGGTTAAACTTAGGAAAGGTGATAGCATCCTAAGTTTCTGTAGTACTCTACAGGAACCTCTTGTTTTACGTTGTTTATTGTTATGGTTTATCTGCTTAAGGGTTAAAAGACCTAGGGGTTTATTTCTAAGTATACTCGATAAGATGTCGCATCTTATGCCTACATGTCCTTACGGGAGTGGAATCAGAGTATTTGTAGTTCCCCTAAAGGGTTTGAGGGGTTCTTTGACTGTGGTCAAAGTTCCTTAGGGTTTAGGGTAGTTGGTTGATTGATTTTAGGAGAAGGAGATGAGTTGTCATCTTAAGGGAGATTTAACCGCCACAAGTTGTAGGAAAACAGTCTTTGCATCGTCTTAAGAGAAGGGCTCAAGTACTCGGATATTGATCGACGATGTACGCCTCTATCTCTCTTAAGGCAAAGTTCATACGGTTTTGATTGTATTGATGTGGGGTGGAGATTCTATCTCGCTCAAGATGATTAACCTCTATTTCTCTATTGTTTGAATGTTTGAATATTGTATGTTGAGTTGTATTGTTTTCCTATGTTGTAAAATAAAGACAAAGGTCCTCCTATGGGGTAGGATCTATCCTAGAGATCAACTTGAGTGGGATCAAGGATCATGGGGAATATGATGCAAATGATTTGCACTACACACAAGTGTTGACTCATGTGTAGGTTTTCCTTTGGACGGAATGCAATGCGAGAATGTAAATGCGGTAAATAAAGGCATGTAAAATAAAGCATACATAAACGCATGAAAGCGCTAAGGTGTGTGAAAGTGTGAATCGTGAATATTCGAGTGGAGACGGAAGCGTGCACGATTGAATTCGATTACGATGATTGATTAGAGGAAGGGTTGGATTAATTTATAAGAAAATATTATTTTGGTGAGATTTGATTTTATAGTGGTTGAATTGATTTTAAGGGGATTGATTAATCTAGGAGTTATATTATCTTCTGGTGAGATGGATTTTATATAAAAAAGTTGTATTAGTTTATTTGTTTTAATAAAAGTTTTAGGTGTGAATTAATTAAAAAATGGATGGGTGATTTTAAATAAAATAAGATGTGAGGTTTTTATTAGTAAAATTTGAATTAAGTGGTCTTAGATAGAAATGATTTTAACTAAGCAAAAACTTATTAAATAAATTGGTCTTAATTATCATAAAAATTGATTTTTATTATTGGTAGATATATTAATATGAAATGAGTTCGGTTAATATGATTAATTATCGAATTTAAATAAATTTAAATAAACTAGTTGTTATTGTTATTAGATAAAAGCCATTTAAATTAAGGAAAAAGATTTTTTAGTAATATAAAAAGGAGTGATGAAAAATTATTATTAAAAAAGGTTACTAAGTAGATAATTAGTTAAAAGATTATTAATTAGAAAAAATTAAGTTAATAAAAGGGGGTACCAATTTATTTTAATTAAAGGATAGTTGATTAAGAGTTAATTAAAAAAAGGGTTGATGATTATTAGTTAGGTGGAAAATTAGGATTAATAGGCTAAATAAACGTTAAGTGATGATTAGGCAGATTAAAAGGGGTTTGACGAGTGGATTAGGGGGAGGATTAGCAGAGCGACGAGTTTGCGTGTGACGCGGCTTACGAATTACGGTGGGTATGCGCAACGTGAAGCGTTAGATCGAGATCTGTTGGAGATTCCATGGCTGATGTGTGAGGGTGCATCGATGTGTGTATGGGTGTGCAGGTATATGATTATTACAACATAAACAAAAAACAAAAAACACAAAACCCTAATTCTCCCCAAATCGCCCCTCTTCGCCGATCGCGATCTCCCTCCTTTCATCGCTCTCTCTCTCTCTCTCTCTCTCTCTCTCTCTCTCTCTCTCTCTCTCTCTCTCTCTCTCTCTCTCTCTCTCTCGTTCCATCTCCTTCTTTTGCTTGTTCATTATCCTTCTTCGATTTTCAGCCTCTTATCTTCTATCTCCGATTCGTCCTCTTCTCTATATTTTCCTCTCTTCCGCCTTCTTCTACCCACGACTGCTCCTTCTTCATCTTCTCCATTCAAACGCGCCTCTATCCTTCTCTTCTTCCTCCCTATTTCCTGCGTAAACACAACAAATTAAAAGTATTAGCAACATCAAAACTCACGGTTTCAGTGGATCCTTTTTGCAGGTGCGGAGGTCGAAGGCGAGGGCTTGCGGTTTCAGCGTTGGATTGTTGAGATTCGTGGTGGCGTTGTGG